GACACCCCTACATTTGGCTGAGTGTTTGACTCAGTATCGCTCTTCTTGGAATCTTTAGCCTTTTCATGAGGCGTAGTAACCATTCCATCCTTAGAGTCAGTATTAGCTGATCCTGAAGTACACTTGGTATCAACAGCATCACCAACTGCTGACAACGCATCCTGTAACACGATGAAAAAGCTCCGTCAAACCTAGCTCTGATTACAGAAAAATAAATGCACATGAATTTCAGATTTTCCTGAACCGAAAAAAATAAAAGAAAAGCACAGCCATGCTTCAACCCTACATAACATATAACATGGCACTAGCTGTTCTGTTTCAGAGTCTAGAAATGCAGTGGTATGGACAACTGTCTCACGCTATAGCAAAAATGAAAAAACTAGATAGCAGTCTTCCTCACCTTTGTAGCTGATTGCGCTTGAGAGTTCCCGGATCTAATGGAAAACGTAAATGGCTTCCCATCCTTGCAAACTGAGATATACTGAGCCTTTGGAAGACTGTATAGATGAGCAAGAACTCTACACACTTCATCAATACTAGATTTATCTGCATCAAATGCTTTCCACCAGGGTGGATTCTCTGGGAGAGGTACTTGAAACCTACGAGCAGCAGCATAAACAACCCCACAAGCCACAACTTCACTTCTGAACCTTACACACAGGGTTGTCCGCAAACTGCAATTACAGGCATATCATGAGAGATCGATTAAGATAAAATCAGAAAGGAATAATCAGATACTGCGAAAACATGACAAACATACTCAAATCAATATAGAGCAGTGCATATGTCAAGAGCAAACCTATTAACACTATGGCGTACAGCAAACCATCAAGTTATCATATAATCCATAGTAAAATATTTGAAAATATGGGTTACCTATCATTTGCCAAATTCCATGCTTCTTGCCTCAATTCAGGAGGTGTTTCAAGTGTGGCAAGGTAGTTCGATATGAACTTGTGTGGATGTTCAACATGGCAAACAAAACCCATCTCTTTCAGTATATGTCTCTCAGTTCTGCTTAATTCAACTTTCAACTCAGAGAACTTCTGCAGAAAGTCAACAATTACGAAAAGGATGAGATCCAAAATTGATGAACTAATACAATTTCCAAAGAAAGTTGTTTGTTTCCACGAATAAGAAAAAAAGTGGCAATGCCTCAGCTCTTAGCCTGCACGACACAGGTGGACATGAAAACATTCACTATGACAAATGCAAATGGTAATTGTGCAGTACGAAAACTAACCTTGGAATACATATCGAGATGATCTATGGGTAAGTTCTCCCTGCGGCACTCCATCCTGTGGAATACGATGATGACCTGTCTTGCTTTTTTAGGGTTTTCTTCCAATTTTGATGCAAGCCAGACACAGCTCGCAGCAACTATCTGCAAAAGGTAAACTTCAAATCGCTACGGTAACAGGAAAGAATACATTAGCAAAAATGAAACGAAATCCACTGGCATTCCCAAGTTAAAAGGCTTCAAGAAACAAGAAAAGTACCTTTACATCAAACTTGGCAAGAGATTTCTTGCAATAGAATCGGTGAAAAAGAACCTGCCCAGTAGCCATAACTGCCTGGGGTCTAAAAAGATAAACAGTACTAAGGTTAAGAAACACCAAAGCAATGTGACAATTTTAGCATTGCAAAATATTTGAGAGCAAAGGAAAGGATACAGTTTGAGGAGTATTCCACCCTCTTGGATGAGATCACATCCATAGATTCGAAGTGTGGTTTCAGTTGTTTCATCTATTCCATCTTTCCTTGAAGGTGAGCTCTTTAGCTGCTCCTCGGGTAAGTAGAAATTGTCGATTGCAGTGTAAATCATCAAATTCACTAAACAGGAAAACAAGACAAGTAAACTTAGATTACGACTAAGACACCAAAATCAGCAAAACCCTAACTATGATATGGGTATTGAATCTTGAAACGACAGTCACGCGTTTGTGAAATCGAACTCGAATTGACTAGTAACCGAACACGAAATCCAGAAGCAGAGCAGATAACAGAAGAAACATAATGAAACTGAGATTTTCAGAAAAGAAGTCACGGTAACGAACCTGAGCAGATGACAAGTCACGCGTTTGTGAGCGTGAGAGTGAGACCGAACCCT